GTAGCGCCATGTGCGGATCTGATGGAGGGCAGAGCGTGGAGAAGGGGCCATAATTCCATTACAGAACTACTTCGACTTGTGCCCTGCACCGGGCACATAAATTATATTAAAAACAATATTTTCACCCGGCTTCGAAGCTTCGAACTCGGCTGAACTTCACACGGCAAAGTTTTCGTCCCACGATTCTTTTTTCTGCACTCCAGTTTTTGCATTTTAAATTGTCGGTACAGCAAAATGCCGTGGCCAGCTTAAACAATTACCAGAACAACAACAGCACTAGTGGTAACAACAACTGAGAGCAAAAAACAATATGAAATTATTATAATGACAATTAGTGTTAATTGTCACTTTCGGCGCGGAATGTTGCTTTCGGTCTCTGTTGAATTATAATTTGCCCAGTTTAGAAAATTAGCATTTTAAATGAGTTTCTTTTTGTTCTCCCTGGCGTAGTTTGTTGGCCTAAGCAAATAATAATTACAATAATAATAATATTGCAACATGAAAGTCAATGGGAAATTAAAAATTGTAATTACTCAATTATTATGCATAAATCACAACAAAAGCTCTTCTGAGTGGAGGAGCAGCTACATATAATGCCCATTAAGGCGGACTTTTCCATTTGGTCGGGTGGTCCGATGGAGGCTACGTGATGACAATTCTGTGTACGTCGTCAAATTGAGGGTTTTCATTGGCAGGGCGATAAAGATTGGCCGGCCCATAAAGATTTTAATGATTTGCAGTGGGCGTGGGGCAATTAAGCGAGTTGAGAAAATTTAATTAAAGCCACGACAAAAACACTTCGAGCGCCTATTGTTGGCCCGAATAAATTGAAAGCCATTCATTATCAATTCAGAAAAAGAACCGAAAGTGGTGGGCAAAATTAGGAGGAATAATCAAGCAAATGACAGGCGAAGGACGCAAATATTGAGTGATAAATGTGTCTCAATCTGTGCTTGCCAAATTTATCTGACAGTCGCTTCCTAATCCTTTTGTGATTACTTTGAGCTATAATTTCGCATTCGCCAGTGGTCGTTTAGATTTGAGTGCCAAAGTTTCGGGATAACGCAGGAAATCATTAAAAATATTTCAATGAGCTGGAATTGACCGACTCAGTGGCAGAACTTTACAATTTCTTTACAACTTTTTTGTCCATTTTCGATTTTACGCCCTCGCATTAGGCAAAGTTAAGCTTCGCAATCAAATTGAAATGACGCACTAAATGGCATTTTATGGTTTATGCGCAGTATTATTATTCCTCCTCTGCACGCCCTTACCACCTATCTATATATATCATCCATTTCCCCCATCAAGCTCGCTATCTGTGGAATGCTTGATTTCTGATTTCTTTTCATAGATTGAACGCCCCAGAAAACTTCCTTTATCCACTTGCAGTGGGTCAAGATGGAGATGAGATACTGGGCGCACAATGAAGGAAAATCCAATGACGTCATCTGCCCATTGCGCTCCTGACTCTTTTTGGCCAATTGGTAATTTCGTTATTAGTCGCGCTCTTTGCGCTTCATTAATGTTCATTACACATAAATGAACCCACATCGATTGATATTTTCAACTTCGTCGTCGCCAATGTCGTTGGCGGTTTTTAGTGGCTGTAATTTTTGTTTTGTGGTTGACGTTTTTGCGGCTGTCTGCCACACACCGCCCACCACCCACCACCCACTTTGGTTTTATTGGGAAAAAAGGTGCGTGCAACTTCTTCGCCTCCCCCACAGTTTTATTTATGTATGAGCCCGAAAAAGAGCGGGAGCCAGCCAAAAGGGTTGCTCGCATGGCCAATTTCCTCCGACTGATACAATTAATTATATAAATAACATTTTTATTTATACTTATAGGAACAGCGGTCGAGCCAAACTTTGAACTTTCCCCGAGATCATGCCCTTCGCACATATGCTCCGCGTTCGAGTACCGCATACCCTATATCGATATAGGATATAGGGGTGGCTCCACGGCCAGGGAATTTATGGTACACGCTTAATTGAGCACTGGCAACTCGAAAGGTTGAGCAGCTGATTGACTCCGCCCCGAGCACCCTGCACCATTTTTATTCCATTTTTTATGACCTTTCGCCGTAATATTCTGGGTCTCGGGGGTTGCTGTGCCGTGGAAATTCCTGAAATCGCTAAAAGTTATTTAAAATAGGATTTTATATTACGGACTCAAACAGCTGGAAATTCTTATTTTGGTATATCAAAAACGCAGGCTCGGCTTGAGTTCATCTCCTGGCGGGGTTAATTTGGGCATTCTTACGAGAAAATGGGTCAGATCTGGCGGGGTGCGCTAAAATGATTATGCCACTTGAGCGGCTTAGACTGATATGTTCATATGCCTGGCTTCAATGGGCTCTAAAGTGGCCGAAGTCCAAAAAAAATGTGTAAAGGTGATGGAGATTAAAGTTGAAAGTTTGGGAAAAGGATCAAATATTCAGTTCGGCGTGAATGCCAAAAGGGCTGGGAGTTTTCATTTCCAAAGGAGCTTGAAGTGGTCCGAGGTTCTTACACCAAAGACAAAATGGAACAAAAGTATTCTTCTGCCAGCGAGCTTTTGCTGTAATTTGCACAATTGCCGCTCGTTAAACGCGCAAACGGGGTGGGGGTGCTGAGGGGCGTTTTCGGGGCGTTTTCGGGGCTTTGGGGGAGTACTTCTTGCAGAAACGCAAACAATTAATAAATTTTTAAGTGCATGGCAAATCATGCCCCGCACGCTGACCTCAAAGTTCTGGACAAACCAAACTCAAACCTTGCAAATGGCTCTGCACACAATACATTATTAATTTTTCCCACCTCCCACCTCCCTCCTCCCGCTCACCCCCCCGGATGCACAACAAACAGCGCTTAATTTGCCAAATGGTTGCTTCTGCTTTCCTACTCCACTGCCCTCCACCACTCACACCCCATCCCCATCCCCCACCCTTACTTAATGCAAAAAACTGCAAGTTGTAGTTTACTTTTTATTCATGGGGCGGCGGGGAGTTCCGGGATGGCGCACAAGATGCAAAATACCTTGCCCAAAATGGTGCAAAAGCGGAAATCGGTGAAGAAGTTGGGGGAAAGCACAAAAGCAAGGCCAAAATGGGGAAAACTTCTTTTTAGCTGATGAAAATGGGAATAGCGGTTCAGGGATATAATACAACCTGCACCACCAAGTTATTGGAAAGAGGAATATAGAAATTTGAGTCACTGGAGATATCTTCATGGTTGATACACATCCTTTAAATGACAACCTTTATTAGTCTTTATACACAAAAATACTTGCAACCGCCTGTATTTAAAGTGGATAGGGGCAATACCAGCTCAAAGAACTCAATTGAAAACACATTTTTCGATGATGTGAATGCCAGTTTCAAACCCAACTGGATTTTTAAAAGCAAATACTTCCTGTGGTCCTAGGGTATTTGGATTGTACAAATAGTGGCAATCCGGAACGCCCCTCCACCACCTCCGTTTATCCACTCCCTGATTCAGAGTAAATTGTAGTGGCAAACTTAAGCGAACTGCGTAGAGCGGGGTCAGCTGAAACAGAAATTCATTAAAACTTTGCATTGTGCTCCAAAATTGCTCCAAAAGCTCCAACGAGAGCTTGCCAAGGCTACAACAACACTAAGTACTGGCTTATTGCAAACTAATTTGTCTAGGGCGATTTGGCCGAAAGACTTTTCCTGCTGAGGTGGGTCTGAGGTCCCTCCATTCGCCAATCCCCATCTATACGGGTTCACTGATGACGCGACAAAATCCAATTAATATGCTAGACAAATAAAATGCTCCCTCCCACAAAAATGCGCCTGGTTCCTGGAGGGAAAAGGGAAAGGGGAAAGGGGAGGGGATTTACTAGGACCGTTTAGATAAAGCAATAACCAAATGTGTCTACAAACAAACACACGCGACTCTGCATAACATTTTTTGCCCACCCCGCTGCTTTTGGGTTAGTCAAACTGGAGACACACTACATCTCAATATGCGTATACTCTTTGTGGTTGGGGCGTTCAGTTGCCTTTGGTCCTTGTCGCCATGTCTGGCATATGTGTCCTTTGCCCCTTCCCTGCTCGGGAAGTATTTGGGTGTTTGCGCCACGCGCTTTGTTTACTCAAGTTAACCAGAAAGTTTTCTTTAAGATTTACGCTTAAGTTATACGTGATAAAACTTTTATCACTATGACTTGTTCGCCCGCTCTCCGGATTTTCCCAATATCTGCGGCTTTGATAAAGTGCCATGAGCTGGCTGACGATGAAGAGATTTGGCAGCTAATTGCACAGCCCATATGAACCGATTGAAATGGCCCTGGAGTGCAGCTAATAAGCGGCAGCAGGGCTTAACGGATAGCATGCAACCCCTAAGCCGCAGTCCGTAATCTTTAATCCTTAATCCTTGCTGCTTGCTACTTGCTACTTCAGTCTGGGAAAAAGGAAACGGCCTGGGGGCTGATTCCGCATGCTTAGCATGCCACAAATTTTATATAAATGTTTATATTTGTTTAAGGTCATTGGCGAAACGGGCACCCCTCTATTCCTTACACAGAAAAACAAATTCTTTAAAATTAGTGGATTTTGAAAGGGTATCAATACCATAATACGGTTGCTAAGCAGGAATTAAAAATGTTGGATTACTTAAATTTCATTTTGATATTTATAAAATTCAACTAATAGGATCATTTATTCGAACACGAATTTCATCGCCTTTGCCGGAATGGTTTAATTACAAATTATTCGCTCCCTTCCGTATTTTTTCCTCGTATTCTATAAGCCAATTATTCTCAGTGTACGCCCACGAGCGCCTCCCCCGAGAAAAGTGGAAGTCACTTGAGTACTTCTGGCAGTCGCTCATGTCATAGTAGTTTTGGAGGCGGCACTCGGAAACTTTTATTAACATAAACTATGAGTCGGGCCCGCAGAGGGTATAAATTAGCAGGGTATACCCGCAAACTTGCAGCTGCCGAAAGTTTGACCAGTATATCTGTTAAGCAGTTGACTCCGGATGGACTGAACTCACCGTTATGGCGATGTCGTGGCTGGGGTCGCATGTGTCCAGCTTGCGTCGGAAGCGGAGGACCGTGTGCGTCGCGTTCTCGTAGCCCAGCATCAGCATATAATCCTGCGAGGGATCCACCACCGGCTCGGGGTCTCCGTTCCGTGTGACGTGACGATCCTGTAATTAAATGCAGCGAAAGCGAGCGGGGATTAATGAATGAAAAACGCGGGAGAATGCGGGAAAATACTTAATTTACTCCGGGCTTTTGCATCTCTGTGGAGATTCTCGGTTTCGTTTCGGAAACGTAACCAGATATCGCATATCATATATACGCCTATCATTTGGCAGAAGTCTTCCTTCGCCTTTAATTCGGTATCCCAAACTTTGCTCTAGTGCTTACTGTAGTGTTTACTGTACATATTGTAGGTGCGCGTGTTTCGCAGGATTTTTCTGGGTGACGCAACCTACCACCGAGTCCGGGACCCTGCACTTTTGGCTCCTCCAAGTGTTTTGACAGAGTTGCCAAAGTTAAAGTTCCATAAGTAGTTTTGGCCAAGACCAGGGAAAGAAGCAGATGGGTAAACCCTTTTTCGGTTTAAAAATACAAAAATGTTCGTGGCCCTTGTCCCTGTCGCCCTATTCGTTCTTCTCCTCCGATTTCTTCGCACATGTTGGCCAGCCTCGTCGAACACAGAAGCCAGATATACGTGGGTGTATGTAAATTCTTATACATATAACAACATGACCCCTGTCTGCTGTCTGCCTGCTCAATATTTTGAAAATGTTCTCTCAGCTTGTTGTGGCTGAGTGCTGGGCGGTGGGCGGTGGGTGGTGGGTGGTCGGTAATGGGTGGCCAGGAGCCGGGTAAAAGGATTCGGCTTTTCATATTGGCAGTTGACTGGAAAAGGGCGTTATGCTCGCCATCTTCCCCATGTTAGCCCCATCTCCCCAATTCTTTGCTCTCCATCTTTTTGTTGTTTGGCAGAAATTTTGATGATGTTGGCAAAGTCAAAAGTGAATTGGGATGGGTGTGGTTATCGGTATGGGTATGGAGATTGGGTGCCCCCTCTTCGCCCTTCGATCGTAATTGGAGCTGATGGAATTCGGGGAGTTGTCTTCAGTGAGGATATTTCAAAATTTTATTGATTTAATTATTTGTTTTCATATGGAACTATGAAGAGGCCTTCTCAAATATTCGCTTTACATTCGAATCGCTAGAAACACATCTCGACTTGCTTTGGCTTTTACTGTGCCAGGAATCGATTGAAATAAAAGACTTTTTATTGCTTATTAGATCTTTGAAACACAAATCCTGGACAGACGAGCTTACTTTTGAATTACTAAACTGTTTGGTCTCGATTTCCTCATTTCCCGTTTAATAATTTCGCTCTATTCACTTGGGAGATTGCATTTACCATTATTTACGAGGAAACACGCAGCTGGTGGTCAGTTCCTGATCCAGCCTCCACCTGAGCATTTGATTTATTTCTGCTAATGCCCCATCTTTTATCACACTTAACAGGATGTGCACTTTCCCAAGCTGTTTTATCCCGGCTGACAGATTATAGCGTATAGAAAAAAGTTATCCATCTGTCTTATCCTCGACAACGAAGCGACCCGCCCCACCCCATCGCATCTGATAGCAAAATGAGCGTTTTCCATCACCTAATTACCTCGAAAATTTCCCACAAACACACGCAAGCGGGGAGGCTAGTCACCCACGCACACACCTACACACAACCACACACACACCTGAGGCTGTTGCAATTAATTTGGCCCAATTTATATCATCTGGATCCAGTGCTGCGTGTTGTTGCCGGCCGAATTACATGCCGGCATTTAATTAATCATATCTCAGACCCTGCGCCATTTGCCATTTGCCATTTTAGTTAGCTAATTAAAAGTTTCTCTGCTCCCGAAACATTTAACATAAATTGTAGAAATATTTTTCATCTATGGCGCGATAACTGTACCCCTCCACTCTCCACTCTCCACTCTTCCTGTCTATTCGCTGTCCGTTTCGCGGGGAGGGGAGGTAATCTGGGAACGCATAATTCAAGATCGCAGGCGCGCAGTTCCTCTTCCCGTTACGCCTGTTTTGCACAGCTTCCCTTTTAATTTTACATTATCTACAAACCGGCACACACACACTCGCACATAGAGCCATACACATAGTCATACCTTGACATGTTTCCCGCTTATCTAGAAAAAAGAGAGAGAGACAGCGGCAACTGACGGAAATTAAAAATACGCGCTGCAATGTTGCAAGCACCCAACATGGAGCGACGTTATCAAAATCTGCGTGTGCGTGGGCGCTGCCGGGAAAGGGGGCGGGGCGGGGCGGAGGGAGGGAAGGTTACCCCCGGTCGTCGAGGGGTAATTATGCAAAAAGGGAGGGCGCATAAATTTGCAATATTCTTGGAGCTGCTCTCAAATGCCAACGACGTTTAAACTGCTCGCAACTTTCTTTACAGGTGTGTGGGTGACTCCCCCTGTGTGTGTGTGTGTGTGTGCTGGCGGCACAAAGGCTCGCGGAGAAGAAGCAGAAACGTCGCCAATGTCGACTGAAAGAAATTCAGAGACTTTAAGGCACTCAGCAGCGCTTATGAGTTTCCAGATAGATTCATAACATTTAGGTCCAAATAATCAACACCAAGGGAAGTCGAAAGATTTACTTCTAAGTCAAAAGTTTAATAAAGAAACTGTTTTCCTTAAATTTGACTTAACACTTTTTAATTAGTCAAGCAAAGCTGTTAGCACCATTATTTCGATAATTAAGGGAAGTGTCTCCTTACATTGTGTCACCCTCTTTCGAAAGAGTATTCCTTTAAGACCTTTATTGAAATTTGAATTTCCCACTTTCTTTTTACGTTGCATTCCACGTTGACTCGGCTCTTGACGCAGCTCCTCGACGCTGCGTTTCCACCCACCGGCTCCGCCACCTTCTCCTCCAGCCGGATCCCGTTCCCGTTCTCGTTCCCATTCTCGTTGTCGTTGTCAACGCACGCGTTTTTTTAATTGCTGAAATTTTATCACACCTTCATGGTTCGCAGGACTCGTAAATTGTAATCCTTGCGCGGCTCTCGGCGCGTCTGCCTGACTACTTCTGCTCGAGCAGACAGCTCCTTGCCCTGGTTTGCCCAGGCTTGCCCTGGTTTGGCCTTTTTGCGATGTTGTCATTAACGTCGCTGCCTCTTAAGCATTTAATAGCCTTGTCAAGACTTTAATGCCTTTTAGCCGGCGCTGCTCTCTAATGTGTGTGTGTAGGGCGGGGCGGGAAAGGGGCGGCGACTGGGAGAAATCAATAAAAGCAGCGCACAAATTAAGCACCTTTTGCGCTCTTCACCCCGCCAGTTGCTTGCTTTGCTTTTGCACGCCGCAACGTGAATTTAATAGGATTATGCGGCAAGGATGTGCCGTTGAGGAGGAACGCGATTTATGCAAAGTCCTTCCACTCTCTGCTCCCTGCTCTCTGCTCCTGCTCTCTGCTCCTGCTCTCTGCTCCTGCAGCGCTGGAAACCCTTTGCGCCGCCACACAACATGAGCCTAATTGTCCCGATTTTCGCCTGATGGCAACTTTTCACACTCCCATTCGCAGATTCGTGGATCGCGGAGGACCTCCGCCCAAGTTTTGTTATGCCAAAAACAAACTTCGCCAATTTATGATAATTCAACGTCAGCTGGGACAGTTCAAGTACATAGGGGGAACCGTCATCACGGCAAACTCAGCTCGACTCCGCTCAAGTCATCTGAACTCAGCTGAACTGACAGCTGGCTAGCAGAGGCCTTAGAATATGCTCGCAGCACACATTAAACTTATTGCCCACCCCACTCGAAGCGCCCACTACAGATTTGCTCCGCAGCAGACGTACAGCAAAAGGGTTGGTTCTGGCTACCCCTCCCGTGCCCTCGCCTCCCCTCACTGGCTCCGGAATCCCACTACACATATCACACGAATATCAAAATGTTAGCTCTCCTTTCGCTTCACACACAGACCAACTAATATGTGCCTCGGAGAGTTGGCAGCAAAGTTACTCGCAGTTCTCACGCTTGAGAAAGGTTTGCAGCTCACGACAGGTTTTTATGATTCAGACTCGAAAAAATGGGAAACGGCTTGGAAAAACTGTGATGAATGGCGGTAGAGTTCTCCGGACTAAGCTGTTGATCTCGCCGAGAACTTGTCGAGCGCACCTCTGCGCAGCGCTGCTTCCTGCTGCCAACTATCTAACTGTCTCAGTCTATCTATTGCCATTTGCCAGTGCCAAAATTGTATGCAACTCCCCCAATCCCATTCCCCGCCCCTGAGCCTGCTCCTCCGCTCCTGCGCTCATCCTGTTTAGTTGGTGGCATTGTAAATTGTTTTCCTGTGCACTGCTTGTCCTTCCTTTCCTGCGCCATTTCCTCGCTTGCCAGGCGGCCAGGCGGCCAGTCTCCTAGCCTGCACTTGATGTATGCCACAGGAGCTCCTCTGGAGAACCGCACCCACTCGCCCGCGCTTGTTTTGGCCTAGGAATTGATGGCGTCGCCGCCGTCGTCGTTTGATGTCTTATGTACATTTGATTACGTATCCGCCATGTTGCCTGCTTATTTGCCTGTGGGAGTGCACAAAGTCTGCTCCGTGTGCACAATGCACATCGCTCGGCAGCCCAGAATCTCCCCTATGTCAGCGCCAAAAAGAGAACGCGCCTCTGGGCAAAGTCATCAAGAAACGAAATCTCCACCCAGAATCAGGCTCCAGCCCCCACACCCCAGCAATTCCACTTCCAAATCTCCCATACTCCCTCTGATAATGACGAGTAGTTGGAGGCGTGGGGCAGGGGGCGGGCTGATGATATTGGCATTGGCAAGCGACTTCAGTTGGCTTAAATTACCGCTGCGAGCAAGTATATCAATTAATATAGTTAAAGTGGTTTCAAGGGGGTTCGAGCACATTGAGTGCTTTGGATGGTAGTTAAGCCTCAGCCAAAAACCGAAGGAGCTTGTATCTTCCAGCCAGAGTGCTCCATCTCGTACTCTGGCAAATTAAATCGCTTTTAGTTGATTTTAAGCCAGCCTGGCCAGTCGGCATCTCATCTTCGGGAGCTGCGTGTGTTTACCTAACCCTAGACTTTGGCCGCTTTGGCTTTCTATGTATGTATGTATGTATATGCAGACACTGCAGATTGTGAGTTAATATT